TTATTTATTTTATAAACACACATATATATATATATATATTGTGTGTGCGTGTGTGTGTGTATGTATTTGAGAACATGTTTGTGTGTGCGTGTGTATGTATGTGCGTGTGCGTATGTTTGCCTATCATATTTATACACACATAAGTTAAGTGAAGCGGTTATAGACTCTGCCAAAAGCCAACCTTGAGATGAAAGATTGTTCTGGGGGAGATGATAGATACAGATGTGAGACGGGGGGATTAAAGGACTATCGTATAGTGTTGCTAAATATAGAGCAAATATCTCTCCGTTTGATTATTGTCCCTCTCCTTTGTCCAGGTCTCAGGAAAAAGAAGGGGAACAAAAAAAGGGGGGGGAAAGGCGAAATAAAAAACAAAACAGATATACCCGTAGAGCGAGTAGTTCGAAAAAAAATTGAAAGAATGAGGGTGTAGAGTTTATACGATGCTGTGTGTGACCTTGTGAACGAAGATGAAGAGATTAGGACCACTTCGGTAAAGATGTAACGCCCGACCGCTCCAGAATTGGAGACAAACAGTGTATTATAATAACGGTCCTTAGAAAACGGGGCGACGTGAAATAAAGGACTCAGAAAAGAGAGAGGAAGTCTAGAATAGAGAGAGAAAAATAGGATATAGACCTTGGAAAACAGGGAGGATTTTAATAGCAGTCTATAGAAAATAGAATTTTAATATCTGTCTTTAAAAAAGAGGTAGAATTTCATAACGGTCCTTAGAAAAGAGAGCCAGCCAGGCCATCTAACTAGCTAGAGACGAAAAGATCTTTCTCCCCTCGACGCCCTTGAAGTACAAGAGGACGGAAAAAAGAAAGATAAAGTGCATGTTCTACTAGCCAGATTCCGTAACAATTTGCAGTTAGAGCTATTGTTACACTTAGACCTGTAATTTTACTAATAAAAGTTTTGAAATTGTAATATGATACTGTAATATAATATACGTACATATAATGTATATTATGCATGTTTATAATATGTAGTATATAGGCCTAACATTTCTCTTAAATAATTCTAACACTTAATTTCAAAAATCCAAAACGCTGCACATTTTCGCTGTAGTTCTTTGTACTAAACACAAAAGCACCAAATGGGCAGGCTCAAAATAAATAATAAATAAATAAAGTAAAGTAAGTTAGTAGAAAAGAGAGCTGAATGAAATAACAGACCTTACAAAAGATACAGAAAAAATAAAAAAAACAGTGAGGGAATAGGGAATAGACCTTAGAAAAGAGGGAGAATTTTATTAACGGTTTTTAGAAACGAAGGTTAAAAAACTGAACTTAGTAAAAAAAAAAAAAAAATTTTTAAAGGAAGAACAAAGGTAACAGTCCTTTGAAAAGAGAGAAAAATAAAATTACACCCTTACAAAAAAAATCGAAAAAATGCCGTCTTCAGGAAAGGGGGTGAAATGAAATAATGGTCTAGACCCAAAAGAAAGACTAGAATAGAAAAAGTATTAAAGAAATAGACCTTAGAAAAGAGGGAGACTTTAGATAACGGTCTTAACAAAAGAGATAGAAATATTAAAAGACATTTGAAAAGAGGGAATAAAAAATAACAGGCTTCAGAAATGAGATAACAAAGGCCGGACAAAGGTAGAAATAAAATAGAGACCTTTAAAAAGAGGGAGAAAGATTCTAGAAAAGAGGGAGAAATAAAATAACGGACCTTAGAAAACAGGAAGAAAAAAAACTGAACTGAATTAGAAACGATTTGGGGGGAGGGGGGGATTAAAGAACGGTCTCTAGAAAACACAAAAAAATATGTAAGAGCACCCGCCAACCAACCACTATATAAAGCACTATATAAATATTCTAGCCAAAGAATACAAGAACTTCGAAAAATGTCTCCGGTAGAAGAAACAAAAAGTCTTGCGATTTGAATTTTCTGTTGGTAGGAAAATGTGATATCACCAGTTACTCCTCGGTAGTTTTGCATCCGCTGCCCTCGAATTACAAAGCTCTATCTGCTCAGTGCATAGTTTTGATAAATTGGACGTTAAAGATTCTGAAGGAGGATGTCACAAAGACTCAGAAAAAAAAAATCTTATGATTTTGATAGAGCTCATAGAACATTTGGTTTCTGTCCCCTTGGTCTTAGTAACTCAAAACTGCAAAAAAGATGTCATCATACAGAACTTTATACTGTCCCCGAGGTTTTATGCACCACGAATAATTTAGCAAAATTTGATCATTTTTTGGGTATAATTTCTGATTATTTTCCTTTATCATTCTTTGTTAAAATTAACAGAATCGCATAATTTCACATTTTTGGGCGCAGTTTGCATAATTTCAGAATGTGTCTAGCATAAAACGATGGGGACAGTTTATAATTCTAAGTTAGTTCAATTTTAAACTTACCTTTACGAAGAACCCGCATTTTGTCTGTGTCCTGTCTCCAAGGAGGGCTCCCATCTGTGTTTCACGTGTCCGCCGTCTCTCTTTATCTAATGACAGATATGCGAAAGGAAAGATATTATGTCAACTGTGTGTTTTGTGCGGTGTGCAGAACAATGTTTGCTTGCTTAAAAGTACGTGTTTGAGGGAAGACTGAATATAAAATAACAATTTGAAAGAGCTAGAGTTGTCAGTAGGAAGTGCCATAATATGATTGATTAACCAGATAAAGAGATAGATAGATAAACAGACAGACAGACAGACAGACAGACAGACAGACAGACAGACAGACAGACAGACAGACAGACACACACACAGATAGATAGATAGATAGATAGATAGATAGATAGATAGATAGATAGATAGATAGATAGAAAGAGGGATAGATAGATAGACAAAAAGACAGACAGACAGACAGACAGACAGACAGACATACAGACACATAGATAGATAGATAGATGGATAGATAGATAGATAGATAGATAGATAGATAGATAGATAGATAGATAGATAGACAAAAAGACAGACAGACAGACAGACAGACAGACAGACATACAGACACATAGATAGATAGATAGATGGATAGATAGATAGATAGATAGATAGATAGATAGATAGATAGATAGAT